CTAAAAGGTTGGAGACCATATACAATGAACCGCAGTACACCTTTATCAACGGTTGCTTGAGAAATTATCTTGGTCTCTCCAATTTTGAGTTGTTTCGTTAGTGGCTCCATATTTTTGCTCACAATCTTCCTCTTCTGTGCGATCGAGGTCAGGTCTGAGTAGTTTTTCAAGTGATTAGGATGTTTTCTCTGTATTAAAATGAAAGAGGAGCAGTGTTATTTTTCAACTTAGTAAAATACATATTAATTCAATGATAAATACATCACAAACTCACAGCTAAATACACCTGATGCACAATTTATAATCTGTTAGCAGACTTCCCATATTCAACATTCAAATGGATTAGATCATTAGATATCATTTCAGTGACTACATTCATTCACATTGCACTACAAATTTTAAACTAAAATATAGTCATGTCGCAGTGGTTTTTGCCATATCAGTAACTGTATTAACTTTTGGTATTGCTGACAAACAGCAAAGTTATGTTAACAAACATTATGCTGAAAATACCGTTGTAAAGTGAGACATGGTCTGTATAGATTGATTTGGCTAAATTCACATTAAATTACCATTAAATAGACTCTTACCTCAATGTGTTTCCTCAAATTTGACGATGAATTCTTAAAAGCACTTATTTTCGTGGTTTGTGGCAAACAAAGTAGACACTGCATCCTGTAAGGGTCATTCTGTACACCGGCAAATTAAAAAAATTCTTTCAAATAAGGCCATGGATGGTCGTCAGTGCTGGCATTGCATGATGTGCTGGCTTCGGCTTCAACAGTGGCTAATTTATGTGAAACACCCGACATTCGACAAGCTGCTAATTCAGTAGCTTCATTTACTGCATAAAGGCAAATAGCATCCAGTACCTTCAATACCCTGCAGATGTGGATATCGCCTCTTCCACCCAAGAAATAAGCCAAAGCAGATAAAGTTTGCGATTTGTCATGCACAATCACAATGTAATGAGTAACAGTAAGTGTCCGTTCAAATGTAGTGGAGTAAAGAGTACATATATTCAATTAAAAATGTAGTTGAGTAGAGAGTAAAAGTTGCTTATATTTTTTATACTCAGTACAAGTACAAAGTAGCCAAAAATACTTAAGAACAGTAACGAAGTAGCCTACATTTACTCAAATACTTCACACCACTGGAAGTAGGCATGGGGTACATTACTTTACCAAAACTGATTTACAGAAAAAGTTACCCTGGGACTTTTGTTTGGATTATTTGAATCAGAATTAGAATCAGAAGAGCTTTATTGCCAAATATGTTTACACCCAAGGAATTTGACTTGACGATAGAAGCTTCCAGTGCAGAAGAAAGTACACACATAGTGCAGACATACTGTTACGGTTGCCTTCTGTGGCAAAACAAATAACACGGAGATGAGGATAAACTCAAAATAAATATTATTTAATCCAAAAGGGGTAACCACAACATCAACGTTAATACCAGATGCTAGATACAGAAAAACACAGGGCTTAAATACTCTTAAACTAAACGAGATAATTAACAAACACAGGTGGATACTAATGAACTAATAATGAAACAATGAGGACAGGAACATAACCAAATATGGGCATAAGGAAACACATGAGGAGCAAAACACACAAAAAAACACGGAACAGAGTCTGAAACATACATGATAGTGCAGACATACATAGGAATAACACAGTAGGGATGAAATATAACAGTAATATAAGAAAAAAAATAATGTACTATATACAGAAATAGAAGTATAGGAAAAAATGTAATTGTTTAAATAAATGTACAGATAGCTTATAAGCGTGCAGATATGTTATTTACAAAGTGTGCAGTTTATAAGTGTACAAATATTGGATTCTGTGTATAAATATATCAGTTGTGAGGTACTATGTATAAATATGAAAGTTGAATTGTTCAGGCTGAATATAGCCTGTTGGAAGAAACTGTTCTTGTGTCTGGCTGTTCTGGTGGTCAGTGCTCTGTAGCGCCGACCAGAAGGCAACAGTTCGAAGAGAGAGAGGGCTGGGTGTGAGGTGTCCAAGGTGATTTTCTGAGCCATTTTCCTCACTCTGGAGGTGTCAAGATCTTGGAGGCTGGGCAGAGGGGCACCAATAATCCTCTCAGCAGTCCTGACTGTCCGATGTAGTCTCTTGATGTCTGATTTGGTAGCTGAACCAAACCAGACAGTTATGGATGAACACAAGACAGACTCAATTATAGCAGAGAGGAACTGTTTCAGCAGCTCCTGTGGCAGGTTGAACTTCCTCAGCTGGCGAAGGACATACAACCTCTGCTGGGCCTTTTTAGCAATGGAGTCTATTGGCGCTTTTCCACTGCGTCGTATGACTCGGCTCGGCACAGCACGGCTCGGCACGATTCACGTTTCCACTGCAGTTTAGTACTGCTTTAGATTGGGTGGGATTATTCACATGTCGTTATAGTTGCGTCGCCTCTACTTCTGCGACTCCTGAAAAATATTTTACATTCCACGTCGCCCCATCAAGCTCTAGCTGGATCCGCTCCTCTGCTATCAACGAGAGGAACGGCTGTACTTCCTCAACAGACAACGAAACTTTTTTGGTTGTTAAAAAAATGTGCGCTCATTCAAAACAGTTGTGTTTGATCCTTCGCTGGCTGCGCTGATTTAAATCTAGCGGTTCTGTTGTGTCTCATGTCGCAAGTTCAGTGACGCAGGTAGTGACGATTCTCTCCGGCCAATCAGTGATCAGCAGAGTTTACACGTCACGTTTTGGTAACGGTACGGTTCACTTGGAACCTTAACCGAGGTGGTACTGAAAAAAAGTACCAGCTACTCTACACAGTGGAAAACCTCCCAAAAATGAACCGTACCGTGCCATACCATGCAGTGGAAAAGCGCCATATGTGAGTGTCCCACTTCAGGTCCTGAGAGATGGTGGTGCCCAGGAACCTGAATGACTCCACTTTTGTTACAGTGCTGTCCATGATGGTGAGTGGGGGGAGTGCAGAGGGGTTCCTCCTGAAGTCCACCATCATCTCCACAGTTTTGACCGTGTTCAGCTCCAGGTTGTTAAGACTGCACCAGACAGCCAGCTCTTTAACCTCCTGTATTTAGGCAGACTCGTCTCCATCCTTGATGAGTGAAGTCAAGTCACCTTTATTTATATAGGGCTTTTAACAATACAGATTGTCAAAGCAACTGCACAGAATTAAATAGGAAAATAGTGTGTCAATAATGCAAAATGACAATAGTAAACAACTCAATTTTCAGTTAAAGGCAGTTCATCATTGAATTCAGTAATGTCATCATCCAGCTCAGTTCAGTTTAAATAGTATCTGTGCAATCAAGTCAACGATATCGCTGGAAATGAAGTGTCTCCAAAACTCCATCAGTGACAGAATGGAGAAATGAGGCCGATGACTGTAGTGTCGTCTGCAAACTTCAGGAGCTTGACAGAGGGGTCCTTTGAAGTGCAGTCATTCTAGTATTAATCGACTAATTTGATTATTAATACATATTATATGGTTGAAATGCATCTGAATTTTAGAGGAAACAAATGTGAGAGATCCAGAGTCTCTAGCTTAAGAGAAATGTCTGAGCACAGTGTGTGATGATGATGAGATATCTTCTCAAGCTTTAAAGGAGACCATTGTGAGAGTGTTAGAGTTTTTGACTCAAGAGACAAGTTTGACAAGCAGGAGATTCAAGCAAAAATCTCCATTTGATCTTAAAGCAACCTCATTTCTGTCTAGGATAAATATTTGAGATGTTAAAGAGATCTCGCTTTTGATTTTTCTTTCCTCTGTGTTGTATTGTTAGCATGTCTTATTAAGTTCAGAATAATTTATTTGTGTTCCTCATTTTGTAAGTTGCTTTGGATAAAACCATCCGCTGAATGAATAAATGTGAATGTAATTGTAAGCATACTTTTACAAGCAAACGTTTAGACATAAACGTAAAGAGAAGAAAGCCATTTGATGAACTTGTCTTTTGTTTCCTGCTTGTAAATTAATCTCAGGAATGCTAGTTTATGAATGCTTCCTTCAATAATTAATTGCTAAAATCCCAATGTCCCCTTAACTGTTTGTTTTTCTTCTTGCTCTTGTTTAACATGGATTATAAATATTAACAATTTTATACTATTTATTTGAGTGTTTAATGCATCCCCTTAGTGCATGTAGAGGCAAATATAATTATTTTCTGTATATGGTTAGAGTTCAACATTGTGATTGTAAAATAATTAAGGTTTTTGAACTGTCCACCAGGGGTCGCTACGATGGGTTAATAGTCCATGGCAGCTCTGCATTTCAGACTGTGCATTTTGGGAAGCTGAAACTGTAGTTTGTAGAAAATGTAAGTATCGTAAGAAAGACATATCTCTAGAAAAGTAGCAAGAAAATGTTTAATGGGCAATTACTACATTAATGATTTGATGGAAAAATGTTTTCAAACCATTAAAATACAACAGTGTATAATTTTGTATTGATCAAGAATTCAAATACGGTGATGGTCATATTCTACAGTGAAATCACAGTGAAAGTCTTAAATGAAATGAGAATGCGTTCAGATCTGGTAGATGGTCAGAGAAATATGAAACAGCTGAGCTTGACATCAGTGTGGGGCTGATGTGATTCACTCTAACGGAAAGATTCGTTCAAAGTGTCAATTGATTCATTTTTTATTAAATGGCTACAGTCACTCTCCTCCTGGCACCTTTAGCTTAAACAAAATCATAATAGATGATGGACTAATCGTGTAAGTTGGAAGTTCATTCATCATTTCTATGATCTGAAGCTCAAGTATGATGTGATGTTGATGGTGTTTGGTTTATATGCTGCATCAGTGGTCAGTGTGACTGCTGGATCATTATTCAGAGTCTTTGCATGCAGTTCATTTAACGTCAGTCAGTTCCGATGGGAATGAACAGATTAAAATTAAATCAACCTATTAATGCCATCATTTCAATA